CTGCGAAAAGCTTCATTCCCTGTAGGCAGTAGAGTCCCTGAAGTACTGCCTAGATCAGGCGTCCCCAAACTGTTTACACAGGGGGCCAGTTCACTGTCCCTCAGGCCATTGGAGGGCCGCCACATACTGTGCTCCTCTCACCACCAATGAAAGAGATGCCCCTTCCTGAAGCGCGGCGGGGGGCCGGATAAATGGCTTCAGGGGGCCGCATGTGGCCCACGGCCGGGCCGTAGTTTGGGGATGCCTGGCCTAGATTGTTAATAATAAGAGGGCAAGACTGTGTGTGTGGCATGTCTGAAATCCAGGCACTACCCTTGGTCACATGCCCCAACCCATGCAGACTCCTATGTCCAACTGCCCATTTGACATCTCTACCTGGGTCCTGCAACTTCACGCGTCCAATATGAGGCTTCTGATTCCCCGCACCTTCCCTCCCTCACAGCTGCCTCCCCACCTGCCCTCTCCACTGAGCAAAATGCCTTCATCCTTCCAGCTGCTCACATCAATATCCCGTTTTTACCTCTCTGCTCCCTCTCCAATCTGATCCTTGCAGTCATCCCTCACATCCAAGTCAGCATTCAATAGTGACCACTTACCTCCCCCAGCACCCATCTTGCTCTCTTGCCCCTTCAATTTATTCTCTTCCTAGTAGCTAGATAGGAGCTTTTAACGCATTAATTTGTGCTCTATTCAAAACCCTCCAGAATCCCCCTTCTCATTCGGAGGAAAATCTGGTTTTGTAAAGCCTGTATGTACTTGGGAAGTCTAGTCCCCACCCGTCCACCCTGAGCCTGCCCTGGCTCTCTCTATGGCAACCTTGCTGGTCTCCTTGTGGTTCTTTTTTTTTTTTCCCCACCGACAGGGTCTCCTTCAGTTAGCTAGATAGGAGTGCAGTGGTATAAGCACAGCTCACTGCAACCTCTGCCTCCTGGACTCAAGCGACCCTCCTTATCTCAGCCTTCTGAGTAGCTGGGACTACAGGTGTGTACCACTATGCCTGTCTAATTAAAAATAATTTTTTTTGTAAATATGGGGTTTTGCTCTGTTGCCCAGGCTAGTCATGAACTCATGGGCTTGAGCAATACTCCTGCCTCGGCCCCACAAAGTGCTGGGATTACAGGTGTGAACCTCTGCACCTGGACTCCTTATAGTTTCTTGAACACAACAAGCATGCTCTCTGCTCTGTGACATTCAATGTTTTCCTGCCTGAAACACCCTTTCCCTTACTATCTGCTTGACCTGCAACTTCGCTTCTTCCAGTCCCGTGAAATGTCATCTTACCAGTGATCCCTAACCAACCCTTTCCTCCCTCCGTCTGGCTTCTTGTTCTCCAGAGCATGTATCACCATCTTTTTAAAAAGAAATTACTTGCAATTCTGTTTCTTTGCTTATTGTCTGCATGCCCTCTATTAGTTTGCCAGGGCTGCCATAACAAAGTGCCACAGACTGTGTGGTGTAAACAACGGAACTTCATTATCTCATAGTGCGGGAGGCTAGAAGTCCAAAATTAATGTGTCAACAGGGCTGGTTTCTTCAGAGGGCTGTGAAGACAGGATCTGTTCCAGGCCTCTCTCCCTGGCTTATATGTGCCCATCTTCTCCTTGTGTCTCTTCAGATTGCCTTTTTTCTGTGTCTGTGTCCAAATTTCCCCGGTGTATAAGGATACCAGTTCTACTGGCTTAGAGCCCATCCTGATGATCTCATTTTTATTTAATTACTTCTAAAGACCCTCTCTTCAAATAAGGTCACTCTGAGACACTGGGGGTTAGAACTTCAACATATAAATTTTGTGAAGACACAATTCAACCCACAACATTCTCTCAGAAAGAATATGAACATCATTCATCCGATCCAAAGAAAGCACTCGCTGATCTTTCTCAAATGAGTCAATGTCCAAATATTCACCACGTTTATGATCAGCAACGTTATTATCATAATCAACCAGAAATCTTTAACTGGCATTTCTATACTTCTGTGGGATACTGATGATTGATATTAATCATGATATCCTGAAATTCTGTAAAGATCCCCAGACATCATTTGACTAAGTGGATAAAGATTACGCAAAGGCTATAAGCTCAGTATACTTTTAATGTTGACTATATTTTGTTGTATTCTACCAAAATAAAATTTGGCCATTCATAGATAGGATTTTATACTACTTGCCAAATATCTAGAATATTTGTTTTTACTCTAGTCTAAAAGAACTCGAGGGTTTAAGTAACATACCAAAAACAGGATTTCAATAAAATGAGAATAAAAACAGATAAACCTGGATTAAGCAAAGAAAAGCAAATGTGCTTATCATGGGAGCCACTATAATTGCTCTATTTCAGCATAAATTCATATTAAAAATTGGGGGCAACAGAGCAGCTGATAAAAACAATATCTCAGATGCAGATTTATAGCAGTTCTTCAGGAGACAGAAGATTGTACCTGTGTGAAACTCAAAGAAATCTCCACCTCTGGCAGCCATAGGGCACAATTGTCTGATGCATCATTTCAATATCTTTCCCAACAGCTTCACTAAGAATTCAGAAGAATCCACACTGTTTGTTGCATCCAGCTTCATAAAAGTCAGGCAACAACATTAAAACATTACTGCAGGTAGTTTTTGAGGTCTGTGATGCAAATTAAGTACAGCACATAGACTATGCAGTGGACTAAATAGAGACCACATTTCTAAAATTCTCTCCCACAAATCTCCTTGCTTTTTGGCTAGCCTCCGCAAGAATGGGCTCTAGCACAATTGTTAAGGTAGTCTGATTCTGGCTTTTAGTCCAGGTTCCTCTACCTCTAAGCTGTGTGACCTAAGACAGTCACGTATCTATAAAATGGGATGATTATAATGCTTATTTTGTAGGTTTGTGGTTTAAAGGATTAAATTACATAATGTATATGAAGCTTTTAACACAATGCCTAGCACATGATAAGCACTCAGTGATGTTAGTAGTGATTCATTGTATTCTTAGACCGCAGGGGTGTGTGTGAGAGAGCGAGAGAGAGAAGAGAGAGAGAGAGAGAGAGAGAGAGAGAGAGAGAGACCACATAGGAGGGTGGTAGAGTTCACATTCCCTTATGAAAACCAAGGTACCCAAATGGTATGCCTGCTGAAATAGAAGGTTACACTCTGTTCACATGTTCCCATGAAAGAGAAATATAGGGAATCTGTTCTAGTTTCACTAGAACACCCTGTTCTCTGATAGACAGCAGTGTGTTAACAGTATTTATGATTTTCCAAAAGTAATGTTCTCATTATGATCATCAGTTTCATTTCTTGGTATTAATTCATCCCATTAAATGGAAAACAGAGGCACTAATTACCCAACTCTAATTACACCACCAGAAACCTTTGTACGGACAACCCATCTGTTGTATAATCAAGCATTTGACTGGCCTTTGTACCTGGCTTCTGGGAAGGAGACTCTAAGTTCCTGGAATTTCCCAGGTAATAGGACTGTTTGTTGTTCACAGGTCTCTTGTATCATACCTGAGTGTAAAAGGTGAGGTAGCTCAGGGTAGAATATGATCTCAGAAAGAACAACTATGTGATTAGAACAATCATGTGACACAGTTCGTGATTCACTCAATCATGCCTACATAATAAAATCCCAGTAAAAACTCTGGACACCAAGGCCCAGTGGAGCTTCCTGGCTGATGACCATATTGATGTCCATGGGGACAGGATATGGAAGCTCTGCAATCAGGGCCCACCCAGACCTCCCTTATGTGTGTCTTCTTTTGGCTGGTCCTGATTTGTACCCTTTATAATAAAACTAGAATTATAAATACAGCACTTTTCTGAGTTTTGTGACTCCTTCTAGCAAATTGCTCAAACTGACAGTATTGTGGGAAGCCACTAGATTTGTAGTTCACTGGTCAGATGTGCCAGCAGCCTTGGAACTGAAGGAGGGACAGTCTTGTTAGAAACCATGCCCTCAAAACCTGTGGAGTCTGATGTTAACTCCAGGTGGTTAGGATGAGAACTGAATCTCAATACACCTATTGATGTCAAAATACCATCTGAGTGCTCTTGGAGGTCTTCAGAACCCCTAATCCTGGCTGTGGAATACATACCTGAGAGAGAGGAGAGGCCTCAGGATATTTGGGTGCCCCAGAGTTCTATTTAAAGCTGTCAACAATTCCCCTTTTCCCCAATCACCACCATCACTACCACCACCAAAGGGATCGCCACTGGCACATGGCAGTCAGCACTCTCAACAGCATCACTTCCTGTCCCCTTGTAGCAAGTCCTCTGTTTATGATGAGGCAGGATTCACCAAACCCTGGGCTATCTTTCCATTAGGAAGGAACTTAAGAAAGTTTATAAGACTGATGAGACAATTTTCATTCAGATTACAGGTTAAAATTAAGCCTGCATTTATGACAATAGAATATTATTAGCATCTTTTTTTTGTTTTTAAGACAGAGTCTTACTCTGTCACCTAGGCTAGAGTGCCGTGGCATGATCTTGCCTCACTGCAACCTCTGCCTTCCAGGTTCAAGGGATTCTCCCTGCCTTAGCCTCCCAAGTAGCTGGGAATACAGGCACCACCACCACATCCAGCTAATTTTTGTATTTTTAGTAGAGATGGAGTTTTGCTATGTTGGCCAGGCTGATCTCAAACTCCTGACCTCAAGTCAGTCTATGCGACTTAGCCTCCCAAAGTGCTGGGATTACAGGTGTGAGCCACCATGCCAGCCTACTAGTATCTTATTTACAGTAAAACACACACACACACACACACACACACACACACACACACACAAAACAAATAGTTACTAATTGCTGCAGATTGTAGTAGTTATTTCCTTGTTCATCTGTTGCATTCCCAACACATTTTTTCTCTCCTCTTTCTTCTAACAGACTCTGTCCATCTTCCATTGCCCTGTCATAAGAATGAGCATGAGAGACTGTGCTGGGGGCTGGGGGTGGAGGGTGCGGCTGGTGTAGCCTCTGTGCCTCATTGTTCCCTGGTGCCACCTGGGCCGCTGGCACCATGAAGATCTGGACTTCGGAACACATCTTTGACCACCCATGGGAAACTGTTACAACAGCTGCAATGCAGAAATACCCAAACCCTCTGAACCCAAGTGTGGTTGCAGTTGATGTGTTGGACAGGCATACAGAGCCCTCCGGAAAGTTGCATAGCCACAGACTTCTCAGCACAGAGTAGAGACTGCCTTCCATTGTGAAGTCTCTTATTGGTGCAGCAAGAAGGAAAACATATGTGCAAGAACATTCTGTAGTTGATCCTATAGAGAAAACAATGGAACTTAAAGCTACTAATATTTCATTTACAAATATGGTTTCAGTAGATGAGAGACTTATATACAAACAACATCCTCAGAAACCGGAAAGAAACTGTTTTGACTCAAGAAGCCATAACCACCAGGAAAGGAGTGAGCCTCAGCAGTTACCTGGAAGGACTGATGGCAAGTATGATATCCTCCAATGCTAATAAAGGCCCAGAAGCAGTGGAATGGGTAATATATAAATTAAATGCTGAGACTGAAGAACTGACAGCCTCAGCAAGAGGAAGCATATGGACTCCAGTGGCCGCAGCAGCGTTTGCAGAGAAGTGATCGTGAAAGTTTGTAGATAACTTTGGGTACTCCAAGCCTCTCCAAGCTGGCTACATATTTATGGGTTATTTTAAAAATAGAACTATATTTTAGGTAATTTTTTTTGATAAGTTGGTGTAAGGCTATGTGACTTGATCAAAACAGAGGCAGGGCTTCTAAATAAAAGGAATCATCTGAAATTCAAGTTGTTTGAAATTACTATCTGATTTTGAGGGTTCCAGTATTTCTGTGAAAATTCAACAAGAACTCCTTGAAAATTGTTATTGATATTGAATCTCCTTAAGATAGAATTTTCAAGCTTTCCGTACACTGGAACTCTACCTGACTTTGGACCAACCCCAGAACAGAGCAGAGCCACGTCCTATAGACACCCACTGACCTGCTGCTGTACACTTCAACAGCTTGCACAAGGAACACACAGAAAAAGGATAAATTGTGTAGTTTTAAAATAGATTTTGTGTAAAATAACTTGCTCTGCTATAACCACCATTAAAAATCAGTGTTTGGTTTGGTACTTAAATATTTCTGGAGTGAAAATTATCACTAAAGTAACATGACTCCAACAAAAGTATGGTTTCATTATATTAAAGAGTACCATATTGATTTGCCAAAGTTTTGTAACTTAGTAAAGATATTAACCTCCAAAAAAAAAAGAAGAATGGGCATGAGAGTACCCATCCAGTCAGAGTATTTATTTTAGTTAAGGTAGGTTAATTGCTATAACAAATCAGCCACAAAGTATAAGGGCTCAAACATAATAAAATTTTATTTTTTGTTCACATAAATACTTCAGTAGCTTTTGAACTATTTATGTGAGCAAAAAAATAAACTTTGATTGGGGAGGAAGACGACTTTGTTTCACATAGTCATTCAGCAATCAGCTGTCAGCAGCTCCTTCACCACATTTCCATGATGTCTTTGGTCATTAATTTTCAGCTGGTATAAGGGGAACATGACAGTATAGACCCATCCGTTTCATAATCTCCATGAGTCAGAAGTAATACATATCAATTTCATTCGTATTGCTTTGATAAGAACTAGCTAAATGGCCTCATCTAAACGCAAGGGCAGCTGAGAAATGTAGTCCTTGTCTGGCCTTCTGCTTCTCAGATAGACCCCTCTAATGTTGAAAAGACAGTACAAATTTTGGTAGATAGTTAGCCATCAGAGATTGGATATGACCATGACATGATCCAAACTGAACCAATTAAAGTACACTTGTGAAACTGATATTTAAAAGCTGGGAAGATGCACATCTGGACTTCTGTGGCCACATTCTCTGCCCTGAGGTGAAGTGTCTACAAAGTGAAGCCAGGGAGCGGAAGAGAAAGAGAGAATGAATGGGAACGTGAATGAGTCCTAATGGCCTTATCTCTCAGTTCTGATCTTAGAGGGTCAGATTCCCTTTTTAGTCCTCTGTTTAGGATGAGGCAGAATTCACCAAACTCTGGACTATACTTCCATTAAGAGCAAACTTGAGAAAGTTTATAAGACTGATGAGACAGTTGCACTCAGATTACAGGTTCAAACTAAGCCCACATTTATGATGATGTAATTATTCCTAGCTACACAAGCCAGTGAGTTCCTCTCTTTAAGAGTCAAATTTAGCCTCCGTCACTTGCATCATTCTTTGAGCCTCAGGTATATGCCAAAAGCTACTAGGCTTCTTATATAATTTCCCAAATGAATCCTTAAAACAATTATAGGTATTATTAGTTTCATTTTATAGATGAGAAAACAGAAATAGGAATAAGTAGAGAAACAGTCCAAAATCAAGATCTAAGGGTATAGGGCAAGGATTGACAAACATTTTCTGTAAAGGGGCAGAGAGTAGATATTTTAGGCTTTGTGGGCCATGGGATCTCTCACAACAGCTTAACTATGCCACTGTAATACAAAAGCAGCCGTAGGCAATAGTATACTAACAGATGTGGCTGGCTTTCAATAAAACTTTATTTACAAATCAGGCAGCAGTTTGGATTTGGCCCTTAGGGCATAGCTTGCTGACCCCCCATAAGATAGGCAGTGGGAAATAACCTGAAAGTCAAGACAACTGTGGTTTTGTCTGTAACTAAATTTGTGATCTTGAACACATTGCTTGACACCTCTGCTGCTCTCCGTTTCCTTGTTCATTTCAATGCCTTCACCAGCCTTTTCCATTCTATCACATCCTTTTCAATTCCCACATGCATAATGCATAATTAATTCACAATTTTACCTGGAGCTCAACTGAGAACGACTAATGTATTTTTATTTTAACTTTGCCTTATTATCACAGAGTATATAAAACATAAATTGATCCTTTGTCTTGATGCCCCTAGTTCATGGAAAGTATCCGTGATTGGTGTGGTTTCATCCCTCGGGTGCCCCTGGGATGTGCAGGGCCATTGGCTCCCATGTGATGTGCCGTGAGGTCAGCCATCAGTTTCTCCGGTGGCGCTGCCTGCTGCCTCTGCTGTCGCTTCTCACTGCTGCTAATCTGCTCACTAATGAATACTCATTTGCTTAGATCAAGGTCCAAGAATGCGTCCTTTTCATCCCTCCTTCGAGTAAACTACAACTATGCCCCTGGAGACCATTCCCTTTGACTTCAAATTCCAGGGTCTGAGGGGTTGGCATTCCTAGAAACACGATCCTGGAGGAACAGGGCATCATTTAAATGCCTGCCTGGTTAACTTGTTTAGCCAAAAATATGACACTCAAGTCATAAGACTAATTTTACAAACCACTCTCTACTTAAGCAATTAGGCTTCCAGAAGTCTCTGGTACGTGAAAATTTTCCATGAGCTCCAAAAGCCAATTACAACAGAGGAAAACAAAAGTTGGAGACTTCATATCCTTCAACCTCAGTAAGGGCATGAAAGTTCCCTCAGGGCTCTCCGGAGAAAGTCCATTATCAACATACTTGTGTACTGTCAGTGGGATCAAAAGAGCATCAGATCTGTTGGGAATATTTGGAACTAGAGATCTGAGGGTTAGAATGAGTCAAGGAAGGTGAAATGGTGAATGCTCATAGACTAGGCCTTTCTCCCTGATAAAGGCCAGATAGCAGACAGGCAACTGGTGTTTAGAAAAGGGCCAGATGGTAAATATTTTTAGGCTTTGCAGTCTACATACTCTGCATACAGTCTCTGTTGCATGGTTTTTCTTTCTTTTTTTTTTTTCTCTCTTTTGCTTTTTGGCTTTTTTTTTAACCAAAAAAAATTAAAATTTTAAATTAAACTATTATTAGCTCAAAGGGGTTACAAAACTAACCAGATTTGGCCCACAGGCTCTAGTTTGCTGACCATTGCTACATGAATCCTGGCTTTGCCATCACTAGCTGTATGATCAGGAATGAGTAACTATACATTCTGCTTGTTTGTTTGAGACAGAGTCTCGCTCTGTTACCCAGGCTGGAGTGCAGTGATATGATCTCAGTTTACTGCAACACCTGCCTCAGCCTCCTGAGCAGCCGGTGCATCCCACCATGCCTGCCTAATTTTTGTGTTTTTAGTAGAGATGGGGTTTCACAATGTTGGCCAGGCTGCTATCAAACTCCTGACCTCAAGTGATCCACCTGCCTTGACTGGGATTACAGGCATAAGCCACCATGCTCAGTCCAAGGGAATGAATGCAATTATGCATTCTAAGCCTCCGTTTCATCACCTATAAAATGAGAATGTTTTCTCATTGCAGGATTGTTGACTGGGGTGCTGCTTCACAGCACTGGTACATAGCTGCATTCAGTCTATGAACGGTAGCTGGCGTTGCTAATTTCTGAATCATCAAGTCTCAGTTTTCATGTGGCTACTATGTTTTCTTTGTCTCTGCTTTCTCTGAAAAGGCACTTAAATGTTAGTCTTGAGGTTTTAGGTAAGGGTTAGATTTATACGCACGTAGGCCTTAAGGAATAAGACAATGTTATAGTTTGGATGTTCTTAAAACTTCATATTAAATTTTTCCAGTGTTGGAGGTGGAGCCTGTTGGGAGGTCTTTGGGGCGGATCCCTCTTGAATGGCTTAGTGCCATCCTTGAGGCAGTGAGTAAGCTCTTGCCCTATTAGTTCCCATGAAGCTGGCTGTTGAGAGCCTGACACCCCTCGCTCGTACTCTCTCACTCTCTCACTCTCTCTTGCTTTTCCTCTGACTGTGGGACCTGCACGTGTCTCCTCCCTTCCACTTCCACCATGAGTGGAAGCACCCTGAGGCTCTCCCGAGAAGCAATGTCGGCGCCATGCTTCTTGTACAGCCTGCAGAACCATGAACCAAGTAAACCACTTTTCTTTATAAATTACCCACCCTCAAGTATTCCTCTATAGCAACACAAACAGACGAAGACAGATGAATTTAAGAGTAGCTCCTTAATATCTTTCCTGCCAGCCTGCCAAAGACATAAATTTTCACCTGAGAGCTGCCCTTTTTTTTTGAGACTGAGTCTTGCTCTGTCACCCAGGCTGAAGTGCAATGAATGATCTCGGCTCACTGCAATCTTCGCCTCCCAGGTTCAAGCAATTCTCCTGTCTCAGCCTCCCAAGTAGCTGGGACTACAGGTGTGCACCACCACTCCTGGCTAATTTTTGTATTTTTAGTAGAGACAGGGTTTCGCCATATTAGCCAGGCTGGTCTTGAACTCCTGACCTCATGATCTGCCCACCTCAGCCTCCCAAAGTGCAGGGATTACAGGCGCGAGCCACTCCCCCCCGGCCAGAAAAGCCCTTTTGCAGCACAATATCCAGTCTCCATAGTCTCCTGTTACAATACAAATCTATGACTGGAGGAGACAGGGGGCACCTGGCCAGCCTCACTAATACCATAGCTCAAGGTTGCTTAGCAAATTAGCTCATCTTTGAGTATTGAGCCTGAGGGAAATGCCCATAATGAAGACCACACTAGCTAGAAGACAGTCTGTAGAGGAGTCAGTCAAAGGCTTTACAGGAAACAAGGGCTGGAAGGAGACTCCCAGAGAGGAGGTAGGGGAAGACAAACTTTGTGATCTGGCATCCTGTACCTTTCATTGTCCTCAACCCTCTCTCTCCCCACTCCCAGGTTCTGGCACCCACTCCCTCCTTTGTTGGTGCTTGAAATTTATTTGCTCTCCTAATTCCAAGACAGGTTAGCCACAGCTTGCCTCCATGACTTCCTCAAAATTCAGCCCATGTTCCTTGCCAACAGGGCAGCTTGCCTTTCCAGAAAGTCCTGTGTGCTTGAAGTGAGGTGAAAGTGGATTTTTTGTTATATTGTTTGTCTTTGTGATTGGGAAATCGAACTAACGTAACAAAAGGTACATGGAGCATGTACCTGCATGAAAAGAAACCCATCGAGGCCTCCTGCTCCTATGCACATTTCATCCGCTTTCCTGGTCATAACACCCTCTCTCCACCCTCTCAGTCACCACTGTCCTCAGCATCCTGGTGTTCATTTCCTCTGCCTTTAAAAAAATAATTTTGTTTCCTCATTATGCACACCTGGACAACATATTTAAATGTTGTCTGTTTTCGAATTTTAAGATTGGAATTGTGCAATGTGTATTATTAGGGGCCTAACCTCTTGCTCAATGTTGTCTTTAAGAAGCATACCTGTTGTGGTGTGAAATGGCACTTGTTTTGATTGCTATGTAGGATTCCACTGTTTGGACACACCCCCCTTGTTTGCCCAT